CACTTCAGAATATTCCATTCTATTTATCTCATGTTCAACCATCTCGTCTTCTGACATCCTGCCTATTTCATCCCTACAAGGAAAAGGAGAAGAGAAAAATCTCAGTCAACATACCCTAAAAATCTCAATCAGGAGTCATTTATGAAATTTTTCTTTGTCAACTCCCAAAGTCACTTTGGCTTGGATTTCTTTAACTTCTATTTGATTAAAATGTGACGAGAATACATATTTATTTGAACCAGGTTACTTATATTTCACAGAAAATGTTGAGAAATACATGAAGTGTGAATTTTTTTATTTTAACATCCCTTAGCGTTGACCTGCACCATGAACTTCTGACAGGTAGAGAGCGTGACCGCTGAGCTTATATTTCATTTATCTATAATTTGACCTTTGCCTGAGATTCATCTCATAGCCATGTGTGAACATGATTGCCATGACTTTTTTGCTCACGACATATAATCAATATTAAGGGCATTAGTCTCACTTCTAACACCTATGCAAAGGTGAAAGTTTCTGAGGTCACAAGGAAGCCCTCCAGCTTTCCAGACTTGTGCTGCTGTAGTTAATCTATCCTGTTAAAATATTTAATGAAAAGTCAATTTCTTACCAGTGCATTGGTCTAAAAGTGTCAAAATAAGCTTTCTAACAAATGACATTTTAGAAAAAAACTGTTAAGGGAAAGTCTCCTTTTCTCTTCTATAGGCAAAGATGTTGTTTAATCAATTTTGAAATGAGAGATAAATGAAAAGGTTGTAAAAAACCGTCCCATCACTTTGCAAGGTTAGTCTAATAAAAATAAAGAGCTTCAACCCACAAATTCTATAATTTGACTGGCTGTAAATTATAAATGCCAATTCTTATACAACAAATGCAAACTCATGGAAGAAATATCAATGGAAAACAATTACTAGGTGGATTTTGTGCTCTGGAGCCACAAAATAAAATATATTTAGTGTTTTCAGATCAATGCTGGAGGAAATGTCAAGGCTGGAGTATGCATTTACTCATTTTGCAGAGATGTCCAAAGCTATTAACTTTCTGCACCTTAATTAGAAAAGCAACACAAAACTCTTCTCACTCAATAGTAGGAAATTCAAGACATTTAATACTGGGAAAAGACCTGAATTTGTGAAACATTATCAATCCAAAAGTAGTCTTGGGATAATGGCATTAGTTACTAAAAATCATTTCTATTTTTGTGACCATAGATTGATTTTAAATTATAAACCTTAAGCATACAAAGATAATGGATATTGAAAGCAAAAGATAATTATAGGAAAATTAGAATGGTTAAGTAGGTTCAAAAATAGTATAATTTTTAATATAATGTATTAAACTGCTTAATTGCAAGTTCAATTTTAGAGTGTCATGGCCAGTAAGGTATTACTGAAGAGTGTTAGTAACAAAACATTAGATATTTTTTCTGTTTTTTAAAAAATCTAATTCACTCCTTTTATATATAATCACTTAAGAATAAATTGTGTTATAACTATAAGCTACATTAAAATTAATATGTTGTATGCATGCCTTAAACAAAAAATATATATTTACAGCTATGGATTTATGAAAAGTGTTCAACCTGGAATACTTAATGCCATATGGTGATCTGAATGTCTTTATTAAACTTCACTTTGTATTTACATACAGATTAACAATACAGGCAAATGGAAGGCATAAAGAAAAGATTGGAAGAGAAAAGAATAAAGAGAAGAAAATGGATTTATAAGGCATTTACAAGTTGCTCATAAAAATCACAGCCAGCACCCATGGACTCCAGTTTTAAAAATCGACTTGCTTTGTGCGAGCCTCGTTTGTTTGGATGCTCACCTTCACAGACCTGGATGGAGGGGGGAGGACCTTAGACTTCCCACGGGGCAGGGAATCCTGACTGCTCTTAGGACTGGAGAGGGAGGGGAGGGAGGAGGGGAAGGGAAAAAGGGGGGTGGGGAGGAGGCGGAAATTTTTAATAAATTAATAAATTAAAAAAAAAGAAAAAAAATGGACTTGCTAGACCATTCCCAAATCCTGTTAGCAGCTTATAAATAAATAGATTCAGTGTGCATGCTGTACTATTTCATGATTCTCAAGTGACTAGACATGTGCTTTAGATGGTCTGTTGTTGAACAGTCATAAAGGTTCTCTGTGGCCAGAGGGTCTTTACCACCATGTAGGAGTTATATGAATGCTGATAATATCCATTGTTTAAGTTTTCTTGTTATAATATTATACTTAAAATTGTATTTTTAGTTGGCTGGATGTTTATTATTCGTGGTATTTAAAAAAAACAAGCTGTTGATTGCAGTATTTCTCTTTACAGGAAATGTCTTATCATTGACTCAAGAATGGAAGTTGGTATCAAGGTTCTTCTAAAATCATTTGTATGGATGGAAGTGGTCTTTAAGAAAAATGGTTTTTTTGATTTCACTCGAGTTTAATAACTTCAGAATTCTAAGTAATTGTGCTGTGGGTTCTTGTGATGGTATTTTGTTTGTGATCTAATAAATAAAGCTTGTCTGAAGATCAGAGTGCAGAGCTAAGACACTTGGTAGACATAGAGGCCAGACTGTGGTGGCACACACCTTTATCCCAGCACTCCAGAACGCAGGAGGCAGCCACAGATGGAATTCTGTGAGTTCAAGGCTACCCTGGGCTACACTAGATAGACCCAGATTCAAAAGAGAAACAGAGCCAGGCAGAAGTGGCTCACACCTTTAAACCCAGTACTTGGGAGTCATACACCTTTAATTCCATCACTAGGGAAGCGGAGACAGAAAGGTCTATGGCTGGGCAGAGAGAGGATTGTAAAGTAGGAAGAAACATGAGTTTATGGCATTTAGTCTGAGGATTTGTGGAGACAGGATCTTGTCCACTTTGGTTTGAGGATTCAGTAGAGGTAGAATGTCTCTCTGGTGACTGTCTCCTTTATTTCTCAGATCTTTCAGCATTTTTCCCAATATCTGACTCTGGGTTTTATATAATAAGATTAATTAGGATTGTGTTTGTGTCACATGCCCTCTGCACACATAAGTGCACACAGTCAAACATAAAGCATATTAATAATAAAAGCAAGGAAGGAAGGAAAAAGAAAAAAAATGGTACACTCTTTTGTTTGAATGAAGGTGTCTTGTCTTTTAAAATTCATGTTGAAGTTGAATGCTCAGTGCCAGTGGCTTTTGGGAGGTGATTACATCATGAGAGATCTGATCTTTGATGAGAGTGGTACCCTTGTGATTTAAAAGGCTGAAGCTGAATAAGAGATGGCCCTAAAAATCATCAAATAATTTTACTTCTATTTTTGACAAATTCATACATAAGTATTGTTTTCGCTTAGTTTCCAGCAGATACTTGGCCAAAGCTTTTGGGTTTCAGTGTAGTACAATTCAAATACATGAGTCAGGTAAGAGACTAGAAAAAGGTCTTAACTTAGCGAAAACCAACGAAGTAATCTTAGGATATTTACCTCAGTGCTTTTTTCTCATTATGTGATGGGTTAGTCATGGTTACAGAGTGGCAGTAAGTTAATATATGTAAATCTGTGGTCTAGTGGAAACACTCATTAAATGTTGGCAATTATTTCCTCTATTAAAGTTAACTTGAATTTTTTCAAGTTAACTATAAAATTAAAAAAACAAAGCCATCTTCTTACAATTCTTTGATACATTCAAAACTGATGATTTGAAATATATTGATTAATAAAAAATATAATAAGTTCAAATCAATTGAAAAGCAGTGTCTCAAATATGCATCATATAAATTTTAGGATAACCATTAAGATCTAGTAATAAAGAAAGACAATTGAGTTTAATTTCCCTCAGAGTTTCATTTTAGGTTTTTATGTTAATTAATTAATTATGCAAAAGAACATATAAGTAAAATTATATATAATACTTAATAGTATGTCTTTAAGGATTAAAGATCTCTATGTGGTTTTGAAATGTTGTCTATTATGGTTTTTTTTTTCACTAAGATAGTTTTATTAAAAGGCTGCCTTTATTCTGTTAAACTCAATCAGACAGCTGAAACGCTTACTATCTCACAAAACTGACCATAAACTAAGCCAACAATATGATAAAGGAAATCAATAAGAAACTATAGACAATGTGAACACAAATAATCATATTTTAGAGAAGGGATTATTTAATACATAAAACAGGGCAGCAGGACCATAGTCTCAACTGTAGTTTAACTGAAGTTAAAAGGCGTGTCCTATGTCTTCAGCTTATACTCATTCCTGAATCTTAGAAATATAGAGATACATGAATATTAGATGATTGTGTCTGCAGTGAAACCAAATTAAAAAGAGCTAAAGATTTCTAAATTTGGCAGAAATGATTTTTAAAGCGGATCAAAGCACTTGCCTCACAAGTCTGGCACTCAGAGTTCAATTCTTGGAACCAAGGAAAGAGGAAAGGAAAAATAACTATCCTCTGCCTTCCACACATGTGCTGAGGCCATGTGCACATCTTACATACATGTTCATGGTCTAATAAATTTGTTAAAGATTAACACTCTTTTAGGTGGGGGGAGACGGACTGAGGACTGGCTCAACAGTTAGGAGTGCTTGTTGTCCTCTTGAGTTTGGATTCAATTCAACAGCCCTGTGAGGTAACTCATAACTACCCACAACTACAGTTCCAAAGGAGTCACTGTCTTCCCTTCCGGCTTCTGCGGGCACTCGGACACAGGCAGCACATACCCACAGGTATATGCACATAAATAAAACCAAATCCTCAAAAAGTAATTTGAAGCTTTAAAATGAAACAGGAAGAACTCTGTCTTTTAGTATTAAGTTGCAGTGTGTTATGTACGGAAAGATCGACCTAACCCAGGCTTCTGAGTCAAGTCCTAGACAAGCTGTTTTCAAGTTTTGTGAATCCCCAGCAAAGTACTTAGTAACTATGTAGCTGATTGTTTTTAATTTATAAGAATTTTCACAGTAGCTTTTGGAGAAATAACTGTATTTAAATTTCTTTCCTTTTTCTTTCTCTTCTTTTTTTTAGGAGAGAGCGCAAACCCAGTCCCCCACTACCACAAATTATGCAGATGGCTTTCTGCATTTGCGGAAGTCACAGGTGGCAGCATATCCTGAGTGCAATGGATAAGCCTCGCCCTGGGCAAACCACCCTTGTGATCGTGGTATCTCTTCTGCCAGGTTAACTATGTTTAAATTTCTAAAACCTAAGAAGCATTCAATATATGATTGAATGTATTTTGTTTGTTAAAAACAATATTCATGCTCTTTATCTCCCAATGGATGGCACCTGGTTTATAATGCTGATGAGAATAAGGCTTGGTTTATTAGGTTCTGAACTGATAAGCCCCCACAAATGGTCACTATCTATCTCTCAATATCTACAGGATTTAGGACATATCTAATCTATAGATGGTTGAATTAAATTGTTGTCATTTCTGGAAACCATTTTGAAAACATTTTGCCTAACAATTAGATTAGCTGCTGGAGTTTAATTTTTTTTTTTTATTTTCTGAAAGTTGTCCCTTCTCAATTGTGCTTGAAATTTTCTGCAAATATTCTGGTGAAGCAAGATTTGGTGCTGTGGAAAGACAGACATGAACTATTAGAGCGTAAAGAATGAGCAATGTTTAAAGATTGTGAGGTAATCCATACTTCATTAAAGTCACTGATATAAATATCAGGAATCTGGGGTTTTATGCCAGCTCAACCACTTTCCTGTTAAGTAATTTATCACAGGTTGAGTTCCTTTCCATAAAACACCACTGCAACAATTAGTGAGTTTGCCATAGGTCATTCCTTGACAATGAGGGTTAGAACTTCGGAACGGGCTTAGGGTGACATTCTGGCTCCTTTCTCAATGATTTTCCATGTACTAAAAGAAGCAAAGCATTATTCGTTAGCATGTCACCACATCACATAAAACTTCCTTGTGATGTGTCATTGGATGTCTAAAATACAGATTTCCTAGTTGGTGTTCATGGGTCATTATGGCCTAGCGCCTTCCAAGCTCATTCATACTTATTTGATTCTTATGAGTTTAAAAAATATTTCTTGAATCTGCCTATTTTGCTTCATTCAAGATGATGTTTTTAAATTGGGTTTGCAGGAGAAATAAAATTGAAAGAGCTAAGGGAGAAAAGCAAAATCCATAAACCAGAGTTAACTGTATATCTTTGTACCACAATTCATGGTCAAGGTCCAAGAAGCCATTAATGGAATCTTTAATAAGGAAAAAAAAAAGCAAAACTAAAACCATTCCACTAAAATATGGGATGTTAGCTAAGTACCAGTAAACAGACTCTATAGGAAACAGAAGTAATTGATGTTTACAAAACACTTTGTGTCAAGTATTTTAAAGGTATAACCTTATAATTATAATTAAGATAAAGCATATAACTGTATTCTCCAAGAATGACTGATGAGAATTTTGTCCATTCTAGAATAATACTAAGATTCTAGTACACTGAATCTTAGTGTACTAGATGTTCAAATGAGGAACATTGAATTTCTAACAGTATTAAATGAGTTAATTAATATTTATAGTAAAAGCAACACTAGAGAGGCTAAATAGTATGTCTACATTTTGTAACAACTGAATGTTGGAGGACCCCAGTTTGCTTTGTTTCAAAGGCTTGCTTACCACCTGTAGTATGATCCTCCTTCAGAGTAGAATCCTTTCTCTGTCCAAATGGTTCCAAAATTTCTGATATTTCTGTAATGGATGTATACTATAAATACCAAGAAAGTACATCACTAATTAGCTTGAGATTCAAGAAATCAAAGCTGTTAAATAAGTGTAAACTGTTAAGCAGAAAGACAGAGGTCAAATTTCTGAATATGTATATTTGAGGTACACCAATGAGTCCTTTACAAGCTTTCAAAACGTGAGGTGACCTTTAGGCCTGGATGTAACTTGTGGACAACAGTGTAAGGAGGGTCTATGTCTTGAGACGATGCCATTGGAGCTAAAGACAAGCATTTCAGTGTCACTAATAAAGTTTTGGTGAGAGGAGTGAATGCGTTTTCTTGGCAGGGAGAGTGGAGAGAAGGGAATCTAGGAATAAGATTTCTAAAAACAGCTGCTCAGAGAGGCAGGGAAGAAAACACAAAGCCAATTGAGAAAGCAAAGCTATACCAATTACTCTTTCTCAGCAGATGGGCAGTCTTACTGGCAGGAAACGGGTCATTAGTTTTCCAAGGTGTAGGTGTGGCAGCTAAATCTACTCATCCCAGTGAAACCTGGGAAGGGATGAAAATGAGATGTTTATAATTTCCATATTGCATACAAGCCAGCGGAATTCTCAAGGGTCCGGTTTTCTTAGTGTCAAAAGGATCCTTGAGCTATCTGTTTCTCTGATAACCTTCTGAAGTTTAAGGGTGAAACTCAAAGTAAAATTTCCATTTTTTTTTTTTTTGGTACTGTCAGGATCTAGCATAAAGCAACAATGTGACTTCAAGGTCTTTTGGATGATGTATTAATACACTCATGTAAAAAGAATCTGTTCAGTCTGGTCTACCAGTCACAATTGTCTTACTCACGAGCTACCTGAAATAATAAATAAATAAATAACCATGTCAGTACCTGAGAATCTGAAACATGCAAGACGATTGCAATTCCTTATGATATTTGTTTTTAAAAATTTAGTTGCCAGGACTTATCTCTGGGAAATTCTGAATCAAGTGGTCTGCAGTTCGACTGTGTATATTTCAAAAGCTCGGAGCCTTTCTGAAATGAGGTTGTCCTTTGAGCATTTAAAAACAAAACAACCACCACCACAATGATAACCACAGAAAACTTGTTTTGTGAAAATCTTGAACTGGTTTAAAATGTTACTGATTAGACATAATCTTCATTAACCTATAAACAACAATTTATCATGCTGTTTTATGTAGTGCTATTTTATCGCATGCTTCAAAATAAATGATTAGTATATAAAATAGTAACTTTGCTTTCTATAATTTAGTAATATTAAACACACTATTGTTTCCTGTCCTAGAAAAAAATGGTCAAATTAATCAAATCTTGAGGGTATCATAAATCATGACCTAAACCCTCTCACAGTTGCACTTTGATAGATTACTAAGGGGAACATGTTCAGGAGACAAGGACTCTCCACTGAGAATTTTATGCTTCGAATTTGTATCTAAGAACAGATAGGGTTCCAGTCAGCTGCAAAAGATATGGCATGGAGTGGGGGATGAAGTACCTTCAGAAATAATTAGGTCCCAACACATTCAGAATGTTATAAATAATAAACCAAATGTTGAACTGGATCAAAAAAATGGAACTGATGCTCACTTGAAAGCACAGGTGTTTTGTGTTTGGTATGCTGTGCATCACCTGCGAGGCTAGCAGACACATTCGATACAGCTTAATGAATCTTCTGGGAAGGCCCCAAATAGATAACTTCAGGAGCCTCCAGTACAGGAACCGTCAAAGGCAGACAAGCTAGTGCAATGCGTTCTTGAGAAAGGCGATACAGTCTCAAATATTATTGACTGTAGAGCAGACTAATTCACTCATGCACCACAATGCTAATAGATCCATTAAGACACTTTACTTAGACTCCATCAAAGCAACATAAAAGATGCTGGGCAGTCATGTTTTTTATATTTTTCTTACAGGTTTCTGGTGTTCTATATTTCCATGTTAAGAACAACTGGCTTTTTAAGGTAAAATCAAAAGACTCAGTAAAATTTTTATATGGCACACAGAATTTTGTAAATATTAGCTACTTATTCCTTATATCCATGTTATGGACAAATGTTATAGTATAAAGAAGTGAAGTAACACGCCCCAGGTTGCAAAGCAAAAAGTTAAAATAGATGTCCAAGTGACTGAACCAAAGTAGCATTTATGCATAATAATTTCACTATTCTGCCTTTCGCTATATTTTGATGTTTAAAGAGGAAAACTAGAAACTAGATGTTGATCTACTAGACTAAAATTTTGTAAAGTATCTACACTTCAGAACATTTAGAGATGTCTCTAAATTTAATAAGATCACACCATAAAATGACCCAGCTGCTGGGGGAAAGTCTATTCAGTTCCAACAAAGTAATCAATACTGTGTATATGCAGACATCTCATGCCTAGGACTCCTTCAACTAAAGACAGGGTAGAGGGGCCACAGCTGGTGAAGTAACTAAAGCAGCCACAGTTGTTTCTTACCATTGATATTTTTGACTGATATAATTGTGTGCTGATTATTTGAGCCCAAGTTTAATAGTTAAATGAGAATGAACTATTAATAGCAGTCTTCTTATGTTATCAGTTAGACAATGTTACTTTCCCAAAACTGAAGGTGACACCTGACACATAAGCCAAAATATAAAACAAACCCCACTATAATAAGGTTAGGCGCAGGAACATGTCAAAGTTGAATTAAATAATTTCACATTTTAGCTACTTTGCTTAGGTAATCCTTAGGGTTCTTTGCAATAGTAGACTCTGTGCTGTGTAATGAATGTGCATCCATATTGAATATACTTGAAAACTTTGTGGTTCCTTGAATTTCTCTGAACCCATGTATTTTTCATTTATACAGTAGTTCTGTCTTCTAACTGTAGGTGGTCTTCTGCATTAAACAAGGATAGGAGTGCCGTGCTCGTCTAAGAATTTGATAAGGGTCGCTGAAAAAAAAATGCAAACCAAATGAGAAATGGGTCATGGATCTTTATTATAAATGATTAAAGATTTTGTAAAATAAGTACTGTAAGCTGTTCCTAGCGGTGTTATCAACATGTTCTTAATAAAAACAAATTAATGCCCAAAGTTGTAGCCAAATGGCCTTAGTTTTGTACTCTATTCATTAAAATGTCACCACACTGCAGAACTCTGTGTATTCCAGACAGTTGCTAAACGGGGTTACAAATTTTAGAGAAATTTAAGGCCAGAGAAATTGATTATCAGTAGAAATTCCAACGTAAGATGGGCTAGTTGAATTGAAGAGAAGCTATACATTAAGTCTACCAATATCCAATCAAACTTTGCAACCCTCATGATGTATATTTAATTTCATAGTATGAATATTCTAAATTCAATAATCATATGCATATTTATGCATTCACTATTAATTTAAAATACAAAAGCATAGCTGAAATTCAGTTGCATTAGTACATGACATGGCTCCTTAATATCAACAGAACTGCAAAGGGAATGCTAAGATTGAAATGGGACCCACTTT